TCTTTGTATCCAAGCAACCATCCGTAGCATTTTATCATGACACAAAAAGTAATAATATTACCATCCTGAACTATGTCTTCTTACATAACCTTCTGTATTGTTTTTGCTGCTGTATTTCTCATTTTCAGTTGGGTTCAAAGAGTAAATGGTTGGAAAACTGTTAGAAGCTGGGTTGTTTTTCTTCTTTTTTGATAGCTTGTTAATTAAAAATGGGTTTCATATTAGGCCATTTGTCTCTAGTTACTTGAAGCCAGGTAGGTCCTTCCCGTCCTATACTACGTGAAAGTTGTTAGTCAGAGCACCCTCTTGACGGCAAGATTTTGAAATCTGGGAAGACAATTTCAGAGGACAGAATCAGTCAATTTTCAATTTCAGTTCAATTTTCCAGAACCCCATTATTGACAAAAACTGTCCAAACTTTTTCACATTAAATCTTAACTGTTTACTGTAGTTGAATCAGTCCAGAAATGTTTGATAGCTTCCCACTGTAGTGTATTGAGTGCAGATCTGCACAATCATGCTTTCACTGTTGCAACTGATATTTCAAGACAAGGAATAGTGGTGGATTTTACTGGGACAACTCTGGATTTGGTAGCTACAAAATTTACTTGAATAACCTTAACATGCTTGATGTGAACATAAGATGATATAAGATAAGATGATATGATACTGCATAAGCAAATTGACTGATGTTGCAAAATGTAAGCACACTAATATCAGGTTGACCTTTTACAGCAGGATAAAAACAGTGACTAATAATGAGGTAAAATTAGTAAAAAATGATGGAGAATATGTCAGTAAATACAGTAGTCAAAGCTGTATTATGCTTTCCTCATTCTTTATCAGTAACTGGTTGACTATTTTCAATGACTAAGAATGAGAAATAATCCATATGAAGATTGACTTCTTTTGACAAAAAAAAAAAAAAAAAAAAAAAAAAAAAAAAAAAAAAATTTGAACATTCATCAGTGACATTTTTTTACTATTTATTAAGCATTAACTAATTTATAAAAATAAGCTAAAAGTAATGAATAAATAGTTTCAGTGTTTTTCTTGTATATAAGAATATAAATAAAGACATATTGAAACAATGAAATATCTATATGTAAACTACATATGAAGTAAACTAAAATAACTGCATATAAATAGAGGAATGGAATAATTAAACATATTAACCTTTGGTAAAATAAATCTTGAATTTTACCTTGTCGTAGTTATAAGGACATATCCTGATTTATCAATTTTGCATCGAGTTCATGTATAATAAATAGGTAGTGATGTTGTAAAATGCCATAAGAGAGTAAAACGAAAGCAAATGTAAATTTAGTGATGTTTTCTTTCTTCTGTGAGTCAGTATGAAATATTTTCACTGGGTGGGCACAAGTAAAAATGAATAAAAAAGTTACTGAAAGATCTGTCTACTGTTGCATTGCATTTAAGAAATTTTTATGTTAAAAATTGGTCTTCATAAGTGTGAGCACTTATATATTGTTGCAACCTTATATGTGTTGGTGTTTAGGTGCCCTTCAGGTGGAGGACTACGTTATACAAAATTTGATGGCTCTAGGTATCATTGATTTTTCACAATGCGAGAAACATGCGTACATTCATGTAGATTCTTCTTTATTTAATTTTTTTAAATATGATACAGAGTGATAATATTTGGTGGCAATGATTTGAAAATTGATGCAGCCTTTTATAGTGATTCATCACATAATGCCATATCGATATTAATAGATCTTCTGGGTTAACCTTCTTTAGGCTAATAAATAAGTAAAAATAATTATTTACGCTTAAGTAGAAGTTTGCATCAGGCAATCCTGAGATCATAGAGCAGGTGCAAACAGTGTTCAGCACCAGTGTTTGGTGTGTTCACATGCTTAATTGATTAATTTGTCTAATCTTTAAAGTTTGTCCATAAGCAATGCAGCTGTACAAAGGGTATTTTCAACCAAAACCAAACACCGAAATAGATTGTGTTTTGAAATCCTAGATTCTATGCTTCAGTGATGTCATTTGTGAAATAGCATTTCAAGTGAAGATGTCAATGGAACATTGGATTTTTCCTTATTACAGTTTTCTAAAACAATTCGATATTAAGCATAAAGGAGAACATTTATTTATTTAGTTAGCATATATGTCAATAATTTTTCTCTTTTTCCTTTCCAAAAAATTCTGCTTAGGAAGGGGATGTTATATATATATATATATGTGTGTATGTGTAAAAAATCAGTTGTGGACTTCAGTTGTTTGCCTTTTATGTATAGGGCAATTTAAAAGTTTTTCTTTTAACTCATGCAGCAAAGATTATTGTGTTATTGATAGATAGGAGAATTCCGTAAAAATGCTAGTAATGAAAAGGAAAATATTTTTTAAATGTGTAAAACAGAGCTATGCACCTTAATACTAATACTGAGGATTTTATTATTTTACGAAACTTGTTTTTAAGCTAGTTTTCCCCCAAGTCTGTGGTGATAACGAAGCTATTTGTAGCCTAAGTGCAAAATATTAAGTACTCAAACAGAAAAAGAAATGAAGTTTAATCTCCTGGTTATAATATTTCTCAGAACTAAACAGTCGAGGTGACTTAAAAGTCAAAGCAAAATCAGGTTTCTAAATAACAACACAAAAGAATTTAACAATGAAAGAATGGGGATTTTATTACTAATCAGAATCTGATAAAAGTCAACCAAACAGAAAGGAAAATTAACTGAAAAGCATTAATAGTTAAAATAAAGCAAAAAAATAATGAATTAGAAAGATGAACTTCTAACTCAGATAAATTAGTACAAACACACTAACAATCCAAACATAAGGAAGCACTTACCAATGCTAATGAACAAATTAATTTAAAAATAAAACATTAATTAATTGAAAAATTAACTAAAAGAAAAAATGGTTGTTTAAGCAATGGATAATCAGCAGTACAGTTTTAAAATTTTCTTCAAAACTAAGGTACGTAATTAAAATGACTAAGAATTAAATTGCAGTATGTAACCAATGGAGACTGTGATGTTAGATGTCATGTGAACATACACAAGTATGACATCACGGGCTACTTTTTAAATCTTCTCCTCCTACTTTAGTTGAAAAATTTCTGGCAACACTAGACGGATGGCAAACTCAGTTACTGCCCTCCCCCAACTCCTCTTTATGAAAATGGAAGAGTGCATTTTCCCCTGTCATTATGCAATTATTTATTTAGCATTATTTAAGAACTTTTTAACTCAAATTTAAAAATGCATTTCTATCAACATGAAAAACTGCTTAACAATATAGTAAGAATGATGCAGAATTTTTTTTCCTTTTAATTGAAATATACATTTTTGTAGGAGACATGACTCAAGAGAATGTTTTTTTAAATTTAAAATTTATTATGTACGTTTTCTAAATAACATTGCCTATTTTCATTTTATTTAAAATGTTTAATATAATATTTAAAATATTTTATGATATTTTGAAATGTTTATAAATCTGTTTCAATTTGTGTATAATATGTACAGAACTGTTGATGTCATGTTCATTTGAGCATCAGTGGAAACAATTATTTTAAAATCATATAAAAGCTTTTTAAAAATAATTATATTATTGAATATTTCGTTTTTCAGCTGAACCAATTTTTTAATAATAACTAGAAAGAGTTTTCAGATTTTGTAAAGATTAAAATACATTTTCATTGAACAGTCAAAATGACCACTGTCATGGTACTTGGTATAATCCATGTATTTAATGTTAATTGGATCTAATGTGGCTCTACTCTGTACTGCCAAAGCCTTTCTGTTGTCTAAAGTGGGTTTTCTGCATATGTGTATCTGCATATTCATCTGTGAATGCTTTCTTACGGTTAAAAATCATGAAATATGGAATAGCAACTGTATGTTCTAAACACTTTTCATGGGAATTTTTTTATTGCAGGATTAAGTTTGTATGGAGCTATTAGCATTTGTGTTAGATATTCATGCTCATTGCAGAGAATAATGTGATGTTGATAAGCTTAACATCATTTGTGCTGAAACTAATTTTGTCAACTTTAGTTATATGTGCTGTAGTTTTTAATGTTATAATTCTTGTTTTACTATTAGTTTTGTACTTTTCCACTGATTGCTATTAATGCTTCCATGTCGTATGTATATATTTTATGTATTACGTTATTGTTGGCTTTAATGCGCAATTCTACGTTTTTCCGCTTAAATTATGTATTTCACTGGAATTGTATTTTTTTTTTTTTTTTAATACTGATTACATAGTCTGTGCAAAATTAGTTTTCCTCTTAGAATTGTAAGGAAAAAAGTGACAGAAAATTACTCTTACCTGAAATTAAATTTTCTGCATGGTAAAAACCTTAAATCTAAAACTTATAATAAATTAATCTAAATAATGCATCAAAAAATTTCTCAGAATTAGTTCTAAGAGTTACCTTGCATGGTAACAAGTTGAAAAAGCACCTAAGAAACATTTTTAATGGTGTTATTTCATTAGAGTGTTGTATTTTTCTCATGAGGTAATGTGAAGTTTTTAATAAAGTGACTGAGTAATGTAAATTTTTTATTGGAGCAAATTATTGCAGTACAGCAACAAAAGCCAGGTTCATTTAATTTCATCACTAAATGCATTGATGTTTATCATACAAACTCATGTTACAAAGAAAAAGAAAATTATTAGTAGTTTCTATAGTAGATATGAATTTAATGTACTTTTATCAGTTGGAGACATTTTGCACTCTTTGTTGTAATGGAATGTTGGTATAATGAGGGGTCATTTTAATGACTTGATTTAATTATTTATATTTAATGTAAAATGTATTTTTTCTTCTGATGTTGAAATTGAAATCTTGAGCTCAATAAAGTATTATACTGAATTAAATATTAGGAAACTGCATATTTAGCTTTTAAATTCAGTTGTTTCATGCTCTAATTTATGTTCTGTTTAGTTTTATGAATATTTTAATTATACGTAGCCTTAAGTGAAGTCAGAATCTGACATATCTTATTTTTTATTAGATGGAAATACCGAAGGCCTTTTTCTTGTTCGTGAAAGTGCTTCATCGCCCGGTGATTATGTTTTAAGTCTTATCCATAATAAATCCCCAATTCATTATCAAATTCGTCGTCATGGAGAAGATGCTTTTTTTAGCATAGATGATGGGCCTATTGTTCATGGTAAAACTTTATTTCATCATTATTCTAATTATGTGATTTCCAGAAATTATTTCTATACTTACGGAATTTAATTATTTAATGTAGGGTTGGAAATGCTGATTGCATATTATCAAGATAATGCTCAAGGATTATCCACCAAACTGGAACAGATATGCAAGGGGCAACCTCCTCCATCTGATACTCGAAGGCATGGCCGTACAAATCTTTTGCATCGTGCTACAAAAGAAGGTTAGCTATTTTTATCATACTGTTGTTTTAATCAAGAATTACATTACTTTGAAGTTTAGTCTTTAACCCTGCAGTGCTTGCGCTGCGTCCCACAGATGCCGGAGATGTTTCTTCTTTAAATGACTTTTTTAAACGGATGTGCGATCGAGCTTATGCTGCCATCTATCTTTCTGTCAACTATACACGAAAAAACACCGCCATTTTCATTTTAGTGCTGAGGGGAAGAGGTTATAATCCAATGCACACTACTGGAGTCTAAGAGACGCCACGTGACTGTTTTGATTCTAAATGTATTTTAAAATGTATATATTCAAGCCTAATGTCTTATGTAACTAAGAAAAACTAGGTGGTTTTGATTCTCTCCACTATGCATCATAATGATGCAATTGATGAATCAGCGGAAACAAACAAGCCCCATATGATAACCTTTTATAACGCAACTAAATCAGGAGTTGATACTATTGACCAGTTGTGTAGCACTTACAATGCCGCTAGGAAAACGAACAGATGGCCTATGGTCATATTTTACAGTATGATGAATGTAGCAGCTATAAATGCTCAAATAATATATCATGCAAATAATTTACCAATCAGCACCAGACGCAGTGAGTTTTTAAAACTTTTCAATCGTAATCTAGCTGAGGATTCCTTGCATAGACATTCTCAGTGTTCACCATTACCTAGAAATCTCAAGCAGGATATTCAGAGCCTTTTCCCAGATGAAGGTACAGTTCAGCTTACAGAAGAGCCTCGAGCTACTAAAAGGTAGAGACGTCATGAATGTGGCCGTTCCAAGTACAGGTACACTAAGTAAAAATGCCGCAGTAAAAAATGTCTATGTGTAGAACACGCTCAGCAAATATGCACTGATTGCTAATTTGAGCAACTAATTAAATGAGATTATTTGACTTGTATTTTTCATTTGTATTTGCGTAAGTTGAATAAAATTAAGTTTCACTGTTAACTGAAGTTTTGTTAATTTGTGTTTGTAATATGATGCCACAAATATACATGTGTTACTTCAGTAATCCCTTTGCATTCATAAATTTGAACTAAATGACCTAACTATATATTAGTACAGCAAAAATATACCTGGAGTCTGTGAGACGCTGCGCGACCTTTAACGTAACAATATGCCACGTGAGCACTGCAGGGTTAAAATATTGGTGCTTGTTTCAAGATTACCTGACAGTGATTTCTCTTCCTATATGTATTGTAAATACGAATCAGTTTCTTTTTGAAACTCCTCCATGAAAATATCCTATGAAGGCCCATCTGTGGCTAGGTTAGGTTATTTGAATATGTAGAGCCATGGGAAGCTATCTAAGAGGAGGACTGCCTTTGTGGAGGACTTTCTGTGGGAACTGGCTAATATTCACATTTCATTTATGGAGAAAACCAGCCATGCAGCTAGCCTGTTTGCTTAGGTTCTAAGCCCAACGAGGTCAAACTACCATTCTGCAGTGGTCTTAGCCACTAATGAGGCAGGTCTTTCAATGAAGTCGTATTTTAGGCAGGTAGTCATTCATTGCTTTGCTATAATTAAGCAAGTTAGTAGGATATTTTATTTTTGGCTCATCCACTAAAACTTTTTGTTTCTTAGGTTAACATAATTATATTTCTTGATCATTATGATAAAATATAAGGTATCTTCTGTAATACAGGGTTCAAATGCCATAAAGCATTTTATTAAAAATGTTTTCTGCAATATAATGTGAAGTATTAATCTCATGAATCTGTTTATAAATTTAAGTACTATAGAGAGTTTAAATGTTGAATTTTTAGGGTACTTTTTGATCTCAATCCCCACCGTAAAGTCGCAAATACCTATTAATGAGGCAGTGTACTATGTTAAGAAAAATACATTTATGTGGCAACCTACAATATCGTTGAAAAGTATTTATACGGCAACCCAGACAGGTGCATAGCAATGTCATTTTTCTGATTAGTTACTTTTCTTTTTGCATTGAGTAGTTCTTTTTGCATTTTTGAAGTAATAAATCTTAATGAGATTGGAGTTTGTTGGCTGATGAAAGAAATTTTTGCATTTCTTAAGAAATATGATGCTCTGCTCAACAATAGAGAGCTAAAAAATTCATATTCTATGAAGTTGTACTTTTTAAATGACCAAATTTTATTGAAATACAATGTCAAAATTGCAAACAATGTATTAGAATGTGAGCCAGAAGCTAATTTGAAGACGGCCATATTTCATTTGTAACAGCTGTTCACATTATTCATAGGTGAACAGAGCAGTATGTGTTAGTGAAATTCTGTGGAAAAGAACTGGGATTATATCCAAACTTGACTAATGATTGTTATAATTACCTTTGAAAAGTGCACATGTCTTCTGTGGAAAAAGGAGAATGTAAAAATATAGGTGGCACCAGATTCATTGTTGAAATAGATGTAAGTATATCCAAATAAATGTTTCTCTCCAAAATAGCCATTGAGTTTACAATTTTTTAGTGGAGGTGGGCAGGTGATCAGAAAGTATATATATATATATATATATATATATATATATATATTGTTTTGACAGAAATGCATTTTTTTAAACATGCTTGCTTAATTTTTTTATTCACCATCTCATGTTAAGGAAAATATAATAGCCATTATTTAAAATATATAGTTTGAAATATTTTTATAAACTTGTGTTTTGAATGATCATTGGCATGATTCCACAGTTAATGGCTGAAAACATGTAGGAAATTTCATTTATGTAGCTCTTCTTTTTGAATTTTGCAGTATCAGTTTTAATAGTTTCTGAGCATGTAACCCTGTATTTATTCTTATATTTTTATTTCTTAATAAGTAATTTTGCAGCATTGCAGTAAAAATAAAACATGTAAATTAATTTTAACTTTTGTATTAACTTGTACTTGCAACAGAAATGTATTGTCTGTTATTTTATTTTATTTTTTTTTTTTTTTTTTACTTTATAGTTTTGTGCTTTCATGAAATATCAATGTTAATTTATCTGCTGTGAGATTCCAACCTGAATGTTTATTTATGCATTTTTTTATAATTAAAAGATTTAAAATCGGGTGAAAACATTCATAAAAATTGGAACATCATTAATGACGCAAAATGCAAGTAAGATTCTTAAAAGGAATCAATTAACATACATTTGTCTAATCACCCCCAAAATTTACAGAGTTTTGTTCAGAATCTGTGCCATTCTAAAATTGTGCTTTTATTTGCCTGATTTTAAATAGCAGTACTTACTATCAACCATGTATGTAATTTATTGAAATGCAACAGGCAATTACGAGTAGAAACCTATGTTCAAAATCTGTCATTTTTCCTTTACAACTTTGTGCCGGTATCATGGCAATAGCCCATAAATTGTTTTCAGGGAGCCGGAGATTATTTCTTGAACATGCAGTCATCTTACCACTGTCATAAATTACGTGCTAGCTTTCGAATGGCTGACAATTCTCCATCTCAAAAATATTTCCAAATAGTACTTTAGCAGAGTAAAACTAGTTTTAATTTAATAAACACAGACATCAAATCCTGAATAACAGACTTTAGTGAAATGCATAATATGAACCATCATCATGTTATTAAACCCATTTATTGTCACTTAATAAATATTTAAGGGAAACTAACTGTTGCTACTCTGCAGCTTGATAATATATGAGGATGTATATTATTCAGTTATTACAAATAAAATTTGTCATCATGTTATAAATATGCACACATATTGTTTTGTGGCCTCATTCCACACGTTAACTGAAAGGTTCATGAATTTGTTGTACAAATCATACCAATAACATTCATTATCACTCTAGTTGTACTTTAAAGTAGGCATTTTAAGGCTGTTAGTACCACTCTATGTTGCGATTGTAACATGCCGTTATCACCGTACAGCAATTATTTTCTCCACCTCATTTGACACTGTAGGTCAAGTCAGCCTTCATTTGCTTGCCTTTCATGAAGCCAAACATGCTAAAATGAAATGTGTGAAATAAGGTGAGAATTAGACAACTCGAACTGTCTGCTGCGGCTTTTGATCCCATTGTTATAAGGCAAACTAGCAGTGGAAAATGACTCTGAAGTTCCTATTTTAAAGTTACAGACTATAGGAATATCTACACTTAACATTTCCTAGCATAAGAAAACAAGTTTCATATTAATCTAACCATGTCATTACAATTTCTGTTCTTTAACCTTTTTGTTTCTCTTTTAGTGAATGGTGTTGCCATTTTAGCACATTTAGTTAGCCTTAAAGATTGAGAATTTTTGCATGCTGATGCACGTTTTATTGTTACTAGTTGGAATGCATTTTTTTTTTTTTTTTACTTCTTCCAAGCAGCTCATTTTCTTGTGATCCTTTTTTAATTTTTGACAGTCATACAAAAAAATATACATTTTTTTGACAGCGGTATGTTACTAATAGATTTATTGATTTAGAAATGCTCATGTTAATTTCTTTTCAGAAAGATAAAACATTTCCTCCCTAGTGTTCTGTACCTATCTTTGTACAAAACTCATTTAACAGTAAGGAATGGCTCTAATAATTCCTGTCTTCTGTTCAATGAATTAGTGATATAAAGAAAAATTTGCATGTAGAATAGTTAGCAGTGTTTTTTTAAGTGTATTTATAACTTCCTTTTTCTGTTGCATTGACTTGCACTTTGCATTCTGAGAGAAGTAAAATAATTAAATGCAGTTAATTCATTGCTGGTCATTATATAGACTGTGTTATTTGTCATCCAATGCTATTTATATTTTTAAAGAAGTTAAGTATAAGTCATTCATTACTTATCATTAAATGCCTTTATTTAGTAGAAAATAAATAATGTTTTAATAAATATTTCTTGCTGATATAAAATATTGAACTTGAAATATTAGTGTACTTATAATTTCTTTATAAGCTGTATAACTTGAAAATATTTCATGTTTTAAGATTAGTGTAATAAGGAAAGAGTTTTGCTGTTCAAAATTTAAGTGCATTTTTTTTTTTTTTTTTTTAATGCAGGGGATTTAACTGTAGTAAGAGAGCTTTTGAAATCTGGTTACCATAATTTAGATGCAAAGAACCAAGAAGGCCGGACAGCAGTACATTTGGCCAGCATTATGGGGTTTGATGATATACTTGATTTATTGTTAGAAGTTGGGGCAAATCCAAATATTAGAGATGGAAGTGGACTCTCGCCTTTGCATGTCAGTATATAATTATAGCACTTCTGAAAGCTTATTATTCTGTAGCATAAATATATGTTAAATGCAATTTTCTTGTGAACTGGCTCATTTAATTTCATGTGGCAGCTTCTAAAGAGAACAATTTTAACCCCTTCGCGCCGACTGTCACGTATACGTGCCAGCAACGAACACACTTATCTACTGGCCGACACGCAGGCGTGCCAGAGGATTGTTGCATTCTCTACCGACTGTCACGTATTTGTGCCAGTACCTTGGAACGTTTTTCAAACTATAATTTCTGCCACAAGATGACACTGTATGTCCACATGGTTTCAGATACATGTGCATTAGACCTTCTACTTGAAATGAGAGAAGCATGACTCACATACACGTGTTTTTGATTATATAAACAAACGGGGAACTAAATGTTTCCGAATGGCGGGATTTATGATGTCTCTTTAAATCACACTTTATTCGCACATGGTAGTTGTTTATTGTAAGTAGAAGTTTTGTATGTGCTAAAACATTGAGTATTTCCGTTTACAGTTCAGTTTTTAGAAAATAATTAGATCTTGTTAGACGTGAATTCTTTCTGTTTTTACTGTTCAATGTCGAAGCTTCGAAAATGTTTAACAGAGCATGAAATAGCAGAAATGATGCAAAATATTTCAGATATTGATTCTGAAATTCTGATATTCTGATATTGATTCTGAAAGATTAACTGAAAGAAATTTTCCAAAACTCAGAAGAGATTGATAAGAAAATGAGACGACGATGCTTCGTTTGTTCACATTCCCGGAAAAATCCTCCAAAACGGCAAATGAGTTATTACGAGTTCAAGGAATGTAACGTAGAACTGTGTGTAGATCCCTGTTTTAAAATTTTTCATACGAAAGGAGAATTTTAAGTAATATATTTAGTTTTCAGATTATAATGTTAAAAGTCATAAAATGTGAGTAATTAAAATAAAATGTGTAAAATATGCATTTAAACAAGAAATAAGGTAATTAAAGTATATATATATAAATATCTATAAAGCATAAGTCGTTTAAATACTCTATAGAGCATTATTAAACAATGTGTTGATACTTCGGAAATTTCATGGATTTAGGCTTAGTAGCAAAAAAGCCCCCGACCCTGGAGAGACGCTCGCGGAAGACACTGCTGGCCTCCGTGATAAGCGCGCGTTTTCGCTACCCGGCTCGAAGGGGTTAATAGATTGAATTGATTGCTTTTTCTTATGTGCGATGTCTCACTGCTTGTAATTTTAATTAATTAATTTTAAAAATTGAAGGGTTCATTGTTTTATAAGAGGTGCAGTAAGCAGTTTAGGTGCCACTGTTTTACAGTGATGCTGAAACTTATTTTTAAAAGTTTAAGAAAAAGTACTAATAGTAACATATATCTTACTTTAACAAAAGAGGGGTAATCTAATACGTCTATCATTTTGAAAGGAGCAATCCCCATGAATGTTGCTTTGATCCTATACATGTAAGTCCCATAATTTCCTCTGGTTCATTTTTTTTTTTTTTTTTTTTGTTTAACATCACCTAATGAAACTACATTTAATTTTATATTAGTTTTAAAAATGCATCATAAATTATTTTGTAACATTTCATCTTATTTGTTTTTGAATTCTTAAATGTTAAATTAAATGGTAAATGCAGTTGCCTGTAATAAATGTAGGTTTAGAAAATATCCTAAATTTTGATAAACATTTCCCAATTATACCTGCATGCAGAGGATTAAAAGGAAAAAGTAAGGAACAATTTTCTATCACTCTGTGAAAGAACTTTTTAAGCATTTTAAAAACAATGTATATTTCTCTTGACTGTAATATCTGGTACTGGTCATGATACCAGTTGTGAAAAAAAGTGCCTTTATTTATGTCCTAATACATGTAATTTTAATATTTTGACACTTAAGGCGCTTCTCACAATTGTCGAGATAGCAAGTAAAAATAAAAACAGCGACCTGCAAGGTTTTCTTTGTGAAGGGAAAAATTGAAGTTTTACTAATTACTTTTGTAGTTAAATTTTAATTTAATAAGCAGGTGAAATGTTGGTAGTAAAAGGAACAGTTTTATGTTTCATTGTAACTGAAATGTATGGGCTGCTGTAAAGCTAACTGTAGCAGCAAATAATATAACAGACTATGCTGTAATATTTTTTCAGGGGGGCATATGAAATATAGCACAAGAAACATTCTCTTGTATGATTAAAATGAAAAACCTACCTGGATATTTTCACTAGTCTGCACTCCATTTGAAAGTTATGTATGTTACACATCCTTAAGGGGCGGAGAATGTGTGTGGTATATAGTGTAGCAGAATATGCTATAATGATAATTTTTCATATTGTATATATATAATATATGCACAAAATTCATGATTTTGAAAACTGATATATAATATTACATCATAGCAGCAGCTGTTTTTGATATTTAGCCAAATTTATATCCCTCGCATAGGTTTTACATATCCAAAACATACTGGAATAATGAATTTTCAGCAATTATGCATGCTGTTACTTGGTTATAAGCAAAATAGAATCTCAGTAGTTTTATATCTAAGGCCTTAGTGAAATGTCAAAAATTTCAAATTTGTTGCATTGTTAAATCATGTTAACACTGTTAATCCGTTCAGGACCAGCGTCACATATATACGACGCAGCGATTCTACTCTTACCAGTCCAGCGTGATGTATACGTGAAGAGCTCCAATCCATTTCTACAGCTCAGTGTTGCGTATATGTAACCTGAAAACGGAGCAATTTATTTGAATTTTTAAATGCCAGTAAATGGTGCTAAATGGTAATGGTTTTCACATTGGTTAAGTCATGTGTTTTTTAGCCTTCATGTATGAATATCTGTTTCTGTTTAGTGCTTATGGTTTTGATAGATTTATTGGTGTAAACAAACTAGGAATTATAGCTCTTTAAGTTAGAGGGATACCGGCGTGTTTGTTTATTTTGATGGGATTTTTTTAGTTGTTGTTTTCATTTTTATTCTTTGCAATTTTAGTTATTAGAATGTGGGGAAATGCATCCAGCTCAGTGTTTTCTTTTCCACCTCTTTTTCTTTTTGTTAGGAGAATGCGGGAAAACGCATCTATCTCATTATGGCAGGTGTAACGTGGCTGAACTTCTGTGATGGAAAAACTCATACCAGTTGTCCTTTTTTATATTTATTTTAAAACTTAACATAGACTTTGTTGGTTAATTAAAAAGTAACTTTGCAGCATTATTACAGAAGGGGAAAGATATCAGCTTTCCCGATGCATGATGCATCTTACTTTGCTCGGCAAAAAAAGCCGCTAATGTCCTGTGTGTCAATTCTTGTTGAATTATTTCATACACAGCTGAATTATTAAATTGGAATTTAATTACCTACAGATAATTATTGCTTAATTTTCATTTACATTTCATATTTGTAATTTTGTTTTAATATGTTTTTAGAATTTCATTTATTTCTACTAATGTGATATTCTTTGTATTAATACATATTAATAACTAATATATTATGTACCTAACTTCAAAAATTGGGGTAATTATGTTAAAATGCTGATTTTATATGCATTTTTTTGTAAAAGTAGGCTTAATTGCTGAAAATCCGTGTGCCAGTGGTGGCATTCCATTTCAGAGGATTCGGTCCTGTGACTGCGCTTCGTTCTCCGCACGCTAGTCCTCAAGGGGTAAAGAGATTTTATAGTAAATTATGTATTGCAGTCAAACAGCATATGGTCAAATTTTATTCGGGTATTGCTATGGTAAAAATTAATAGGATTTTTAAAAAAGAAGTATATGTAGCATGTCTTGTGATTGAGTAAGTATCTGAAATCTACGTATCAATTCTTGTTAAATACAAAAAGAAAACAAATTTTAGTCCACTTTGCAGCATGTAAGAAATTATACCATTCTCTAGATTACCACATAGCTTCACCAGATCTTGCAAACACTCATAAAATAGTTTGTCTTGTGGTTGTTTGTAGGGGAGTGTAGTGATGAGAAAATGCAGAGAATATTTATGAACAGATTCCAAGCACCTAAAATCTGTGCTGTTGTTAGAATTTGCGGTAGTGTATTCTGAAGGATTATCTTTGAAATACAAATCCTAAAAATATTTTAATATTTATTTTAACTTTTTCTTTTAAAGGAAATGCCCAAAATATCTTTTTTAATTTTTTAATTGCTGTCTTTGAATCACTAAAATTATGCAGAATTAGGAAATACATCTCAGATTGATGTATTGTAATGTGACCATACACTTAATAAAAACGGAATCTCAATATTTAATGCAGAGCATAAGATTTTCTATCTTTATAAGATACATGTTATTTAAAATTTGTTTCAATTTGTCTGCTTACTTATTTTTGAATGATTGTTAAGTTTTTTGTCAATTTAATCGATTGATTGCACAAGGCATAGGAAATGAGCTGTAAAGACTTCACATAGTTGAAATATTCCTTTGTCCATTTCAGTTACTACCCATATCTTTGTAAGAGTATTATAGCTTGGAAGATGTCTGTAGTATAATATTTTATAAAATTTTTGCATTGTTTTTCATATACACTGTACTTACTCTTTTCCCTTGTCTATATATATATATATATATTTATGTAAGACAAGGTATATAAGTAACAATGCTGTGCAATAAAGGTGCTGGCAATTTTATGCAAATTGGTGACTGCTAGCCAAGATGTTCAAAGTGTATCCTGGCATAAAAATGCTCACACTTTCATGAAGATCATCTTCGTAACTTTAAAAAAAGAAAAAAAAAGGCAATCCTTATGTAGATCATCTTTGTAACTAAACTAAAAAAAAAAAAAAAAAAAATAAAAAAAAAAAAAAAAAAAAAAAAGCAATCTTTGTATGCATCTTTTTGCCAAGATACTTTCATGGAAATAAGTTTTTATTTTTCTATTTTTATTAATAAAGCACCAAAAAAAAGTTTGCAATATTACTTTGCTATAAAAAGTGTCCTCACCCATACGAAAGTGCTTTCTTTAAGTTCAAAACTTATCTTCATAAGGTGTGGGTACCTTTGTGCCATTACATCCTTGTAAAGGTTTCTATCATGGAGAACATGCATATAGGTAATGTTACATTTATGATGGGCACTATTCAGAGGGCATTCCTTTAAGCATTATATTTACTGATGAGAGCTAACAGGCTAGTAAGTGTTCTTAAGAATGTATTTATTCATAAGTAGTTCCTGTTGTATTTTGTATACATTCTGTTTTCTGTTCAAGTGCAAACTATGCTGTTTGGAATATTCAAAATTCTGTTCTAGTCTATTCAAAATTATTTTATATAGATGATGATCAAGTAGAATTTTTAAGATAAGATCAATTAGATTTGATAGAAGATTTTTAAGCTATTTAACTGCGTGTATTTTTTTTTTCTTCCTTAGTACGCTTGTCAAAAAAATCAGTCTTCAACAGTTACTGTTCTCTTGAAATGGGGAGCAAATCCTCAGCTTCGTGCTACTGAATCTGGATGGGTACCTTTGCATTATGCTGCAAACCATGGATGTTCTGATACTGTAAAAGTATGTTGCATTGAAAAAGAAATTACACTCTGTATAATTCATATGATTTGTTCATAGGTAGTTGTTTTGTTTACAGAAATTTGTCATGCAACTGTGTACAGACAAAAAACCTTTTGTTTTCAAACTGTTAGAGTAAATTTTGAAAATATTCAATGCTTTAGAAAACAAAAATATGCGGTTAGTTGTTTGTGAGGCATCATATGTACCTATCTATATATTCAAATAAACAATAAACGCTGTGAAAAAATAAACTAGATAAGCAATGAGATCAATAGGGAACAAATGCATAAAAAGTGCAAAAGCAATGTAAACAAAATAAAGTAGTGCAAATAATAATGAAAAATGGAAGTAAAAAGAATTAACATCTCTTGGCGCATCGTTGTCAGGAAGTTGGTATATCAAGAGAAGTACCGTATATTTCCGCAGATAATTGAATCATAAAAGGAAGCCCCGAAAATCCGTGGTAGTCTTATAGGACAGATAAAAAGAAATTAGTTTGAAATTTATGTAAATTAAAGCCATTAGAAATCACTAATCAATGTATTTAAAATCCTACAAAATCCTCACATTCATCATCTAAGCCAAATAGTTTCTCAAGTACATTCTCACTTTCATTGTTGAGAAAATCAGCATATGGATCCCATTCTGTACCTGGTGAGTCTATTTTTGCTTCATCATCTCATAAATAATTAGAAATCCCACATTTTCTGAAGAATTTGATCTGTTTCCACATTCGTTTTCCTCTGTGATTTGATCATGAAATCACGAAGCACATCAAGTAACACTGTCTGCATAGCTCCATCTTTTGTATACGACTTTTCACCACTCATCATCCAATTATTCTGTTCTTCACGCATGGGATCTTTCAATGGTTTATTCAGAGAGATGTCTAAAGGTTGTAGCATTGAATTTAAACCACCTGGTACAGCTGAAATCTTAGTATTGCGCTGGGCTAAGCGATTTTTTTTTTACCTTAGTTATGCGACTATGGAACATATCCCACACCAATTGAACTATGTTGATTTCATAGAGCATGTGGTTGCCTGTGTTGTATATTATCCATCCACAATTTTACATCATTCTTGTCCGTAAATTCCTTTTCATGAAAATGTACGAAAATGCCTGGTGGGAAGCTTATTTTAGGAGTAGTTTCCATCTTGAATATGACCGTGGGTTTTAACTTTGTCCATCTGCCATGCATCTGTATACTTCTGTAAACCTGGCTTTTTCATGTCCGGTACATTTTGACATGAACATTTTTTACGCTTTTTATTTCCAGAGTTCATTTGCTTATCAAGTTAAAATTTGTGGGTGTTCCATCCATATTTCCAATTTTAGATTGTAGAGACATTAGGTATTTTTTTTAAGCAGGAGTGATGAATAATTAGCAAATGCCTTCGCCGGGAATCGAACCACTGACCTCCGAAATACCGGCTCAGTGTGCAGAACAACTACACCACAAAGGACGCTAGGAAAGTGGAAGAAATACCTTATAAGATAATGGAAAGTTGGAAGTTGATAATAAAAAAACTTTTGGTAATTTCTGCGCAATTTTTTTTCTGTCATATTACTGACTTTTTTCTGTTCATTACACAATTATAACAGCCTAATGTTGCTTTAAATTCTCTGCCTTGTTCTGGATTTGCCTGTGACCCTTTCAGTGCATAGGCCCTAATCATACATCTTCTAACAACATAACAATTCTTCCTGTGTTCTTGTACTCATTCTGCAATGCCATTTTCTAAATCTGGGCAACAAGCTGTTTCTGTTCTCATGAAACATTTTCTTCATATGTACATTTTTAATACCATCTTCATTCTTTCTGCAGTCTCTTACTATCTTCTGTGTTACATCAAAAGCTTTTGCTGCAAGACAGTTGTTCGATTCTTTAGCCTGTTTCATGGCTTTTTAACTTGAAGCTTGCTTCATGTTTCCTTCTTTTTCTTGATTTCATGATTAGACCCGCACTTTACATGGATAACACAATACAAATTGTTTGAACACACGGTACAGTATGTTATGAAACTTCTTAAAGGTACATGCGAATCCATGATTTGGCATGTGCTTTCATAGGTAGTGCTGCCAGCTGCAATAAAATAAACTTGTTAGAGGTCAGTTTATGATTTTACATGTGCCTTTATAGGCAGTATGGCCAGATGCAAGAAAATAAAATTTGTTTCTGATAATGATCGCCGTTATTAGTTCAACCCCTTCCGGCTGTTATAAAAAACAGCCTGATTGCCCAGTTTTCCATGTCTCCCTAAAATCCAAACTGCCTCAAATCTACCTGTATCTATTATTTATACAGATTTGTTATTTTCTAAACCTGGTATTATGCTTTAAAAAATATGTGAAGTATGTCATTGGTTGAACTGTTCTTCAGAAGATAAAGTTTAATCTTGGCATGCTATTTCGATTCTTATATAGGAAATCTGATAAAACTGGGAAATTTTAAAACCATTTATTGATAATATATTCTAGCTTATACTATTATATATATGCATGCAGACATTTGCCCACATACAGTGATCAACCAAATCATGATGACCATTATCCTGTAATAATGAACTGCTCCACATATGGCATGCAGAACAGCTGCAATCTATTGTGGTACTGATTCTTAAAGTCCTTGATATGTGTCAGAGTAACTGTGGCCCCAAGTACATTCATAAGGATGTCTTCTAAAGCACAATACCTCTGCCATTGGCCTGTTTAGATGCTGCAGTACATAAAATCATGATTCATCTGACTGGATAACTCTTTTCTATTGTAGCATGATCCAATCATGATGTTCATGGGCCCACTGTAGTCGTAAACTCTGATGATTGTTGGGTTGATAAAAGCATATGAAAGAGACATCTGCTGTGGAGTAAAATCCGATGATTAGTATGTAGACCTACATTGTGTTGAACTGTTAGATGAGCATAGGGAGCTAACTGGATGCCGTCATTAAGGACAGTCCTTTGTTATTGTGTTCACTGATTAGGTATGAGCAAAGCCAGGCTATCACAATCTGGCCTTTTTCAAAATTGAATAGCATTTCATGTATATGCATACATTGTCAATAAACTTATACCTCACTCTACAAGGAAATCATTAAATAACGTTCCGTTTTATTATGTGCCATCTGCATTATTTCAACAAGTGCATTCTGATAATAAAAGTTGTGATCATAATGTTTTAGTTGATCAGTGTGTGTTCTAATAATAAATATATTGCACTGTAATTAATAAGCATTTTATGTTTATGATTTATAATATTTATAGGAAAAGAAAAATTTCAGTCTGTTTAAGCTGTTATTGTTTTAAGTAACATGTTTAGCAATTATTTTGCATTGTTGTTAGTGTGTATATTTCTCAAGCATAATGATGTAAAATTTTATGAAGGCACTTAAGCATATTGGAGGACAAATTAATATGAAAAGAACATTCTTCAGTTTCTCATTTGGGCAAGAGAAAATGATTACAAAAGAATTTAAAAATTCATTTAAATTTTTTTCTATAATTTTATACTATAATTTATGTATAAATAATATTTGGTTTTTGTGACTGAAGTATGCTGGCCAAATTTGAAGAGAGACATTTATTATACTGTCACCACTATTTTTATTTCTGCAGTATTCTGTAATGGTTCAGAATAAAAACAATCTGTAGGAGAAAAAATACTGTAAATATGAAACTATTAAAGTAATGCTGCCTTTAGATGCTAGTTCTGTCTATTTTCTTGGGGGGGGGGTAGTTATACTTGGAGCTATTATAACTGTAGGTTGAAAAAGGAGGAGAAAGAATTCACTTTTTTGGGGGGAAAAGGGGGGAACTGATCAGTACATCATATATGCTGTCCAAAAGATAAAGAAAAATTATGTATGCCTATTCAAGGATGTTCAAACATAGATCTTTTTTGAAGCAAAATATTTTCTCCCTTAAAATTCACTGCTGAATTTCATGAAGTTTTATTTAAATTTTAGGTCACCTAAAATTACATTTTTGCATAATTTAAATTTTCCATTGGCGTGTTGTCTTCCAGTTCAAGTGCATCCTAGTGAGAATATGCAAAGCTTAAGTCACAAGCAAGGATTGCATGTGCAGCCTTATTGGGTCATAATTCCTGATTAGGAAATTGTTTCTTAGCAGTCAAATCCCCTAATAAATCCAACAACAAATTTTGCCATTACCTGAAAAGTCAGATATGGCAGTGTTATCTGAATGGAATCTTTGAGTTTGATTTGACTGTGATTCAGCTTGCAACATAAAAATTTAAGTCTAATGGAAGAATCTTTATGTATAGATAATTTTTTATATTTTATCTGGTAAAAACTAGGACTTGAAAATATGTTTTTTTTTTTTTTTTTTTTTTTTTTTTTTTGTCAATTTGGTAAATATTATTTATTTAATAATTCTTTTAGTGTAACTTAAGCAATCCATTTTATTATTTAAGGATTTACTATCCCTGAATACTCCATGCCATCCACGGTCAAATTATAATGAAACACCTTTGGATCTAGCTACAAAGAATAATCATCAGGAATGCATATCCTTGTTAAGTAATGTGCCTTAACATTTATTTTCTATTAGATGTTTTACACTGGTGAGAAAAATTAAAAGAACAACTATTCAAAACTCCTGTCCTGAGTGATGTTGCAGCGAAGAATATAGTATTTGCTCAAGATCTTTATTTTGTTATGCCCAAGATGTCTTCAAAACACAGCATTTGCTAGTCCTGCAAAAAACAAATTAAATAAGAACACAGGAAATGTGATGTAAAGTGGGGCAGGGAAAAGTTGGTGTTACAACTTTTTAGAACCTAGAAAAGAGAAATAATGCATGTGGTCACTCCTAGCCAAAATACAAACTTTACAGTAATTTTGCATGCTCTGTATTAGATTTCCAGGCATATCTGCATGAACAAAGCATATTTGTGATGAATAGTGCCTTGAAGCTCCTTGAAAGAGGTAGATGAAGGCTGGGATGTTGCAAGTCAGCATCCTAGTGTGTCTTACATACTATATTCTGTCAGGTTTAAATGTATAGGCTATGTGGGCCACTCCATCTGCTATATTCCTTCACTCTCAAGACAATCAGTCACTAGTGCAGTGCAATGGGAATGTGTATTGTTGCCCATTCTTCTTCATTTGCACTACTGTTTTATCATAGGCCAAGGCTGTCTCAATAAACTTTCTGCAATGGATCCAGTTAGTCGATACGTCCGCCAACAATTGATTTTTAAAGTTTTAAGATCTGCCTCCACACTGTCTATCACTGTTGTCCATTAGAAGGATGTTTTTACCAAGTGACCCCTAAATAACATGACATAAGGATTTCTGTGTATTTTAACAATCATATTTGCACTGCTAAAAATGTATAGGTCAGTACAGCCATTCAAAATAATGCCCATTCAAACACCATTGTACAGAAGACATTTTAAGGCTTGTTATATGTTTTGCTCCTTGTGCATTGTAACACATTTAAACTCACTCTTCAAGCAAGAATAAGACTCATTATCAGGGTCCAGATTTTGATAACCCAAAAAAGTTTACTGAAAATGCCCTAGAAAGAATTTTAAAACAAAGGTACCCCAAAATAAAAAACAATAATAATATGAAAAATGCTACAGTTCATAAACATTAACAAATGGATTAAAACTCAAAAAATTGCATGCACATCACTTGAATTTTACTTTTTCTTCTGAATTTTCAGCCTTATGCAAATGTATTACAATTGCATTTAATCATTAAATGCTTCTTTATATTTTCAAACATGAAAAATTTGTTGTTAGTATGTAAGCTTTTATATCATGAGAAACTTCTCTCAACATCTTCTGCAGTTATTGGAGCATACTTGAAAAAGAACTCCATCAATTATCATTAACTCTTCTTCAATTACAAAAGAGTCTACTTCTGTCAGGATGAAGGATATTTTCCATATAGTTTGGAAGCCACAATTTTTAGTCAACAGTGGTGAATTTAGCAAATGCAGTGTATTAAATTTTGCTTTTGATCTTTTTTTAAATTTTGCTTATTTTATCAATTTAATTTATTGCATCAGCTGGTTGCATATTTTGCTTTTTTTTATAATTTAATAGTTGAAATTAATATCTTTAAAGTGGATATGATGTATGCAATATTTTCTTCAATTTTGTCTGTGGACAAAACATTCTGTGCAACTTGAATTGAAACAGAACTATATTAATTAAGCAAAACAAGAAAATAAAGGGGATTTTATCAAGGTAGAAAAACATAATGTGCACAGCTGTGAGTGTGTAATTCCAAGAATATTTCTGCGGAATACATTTTTTTTCCTCTGCATATAATCCTTTAGAACTGAATATGCACAAAACTTCTTAAAGAGCTGAGACATGCTGGTATGGAAAACTCTTAGAAGTGACACTCATACCTTGTGGAAAAAGTCTGTCATAATAGATAGGATTAATAGGTTCCATACTTAGTTTTCTATGGATATGATATGTCTGCCTAGTAAAAATGAGTTTTAGGAGTTGAAGAAAATAGTCAACTGCAAAAAAATTCATAGGTCATTGAAATCCAGGTTTGTTTATTAGTAAAGATAGTTCATATTACATTAGTCACAATTATCTCTGCACCTTTGGAATGAAGTGTATTTCGTAGCCCAAGCTAATAGAGTCAAAAGTCGTTTATTCGGACACCCATAATCCGGACCTCAAAGCTACAAACTTCCTGCACATGCGTCGCGTTGACGCATGCGCGTAAGACCTTTACAGCTGCGAATATGTGTGTGCGTGCTTAATGTATAACGGATGGTATAAGCTAAGCTAAAATTATCTAATTCAGTTAATGTTGCAGATTGCGTTGTTCCTTAATCTTCGAATTGGATTTGGCTTATTATTTTTTGCAGACTGTTAGAGCAATTTTATAAAAGTAAACTTGAACTTTCGATTATGTCAAATAGAATTTCTGATATATATTTACTAATATGTAAAGGATCTACCAAAGCGAAAGTATGTTTCGAAGTCCATTAAACAAAAAGTGGAATTGCTGCAAAAAATGGATAAAGGGCATATCCTTTGTTTATCTTTAACGCCGCGGCGCTCAATGAATTGGAAGTTTGATCTGTCAGCACTATCCTTATCTTCAGGGCAGATGTTTTTATTTTATTGGCTTGTAATTCCTTACTAAATGTAGTATTTCATCTCGATGTACTCCGTCTTTGATATGATTTAAATCAAATTCCTCGTCATTATAATTCACTTCCGATAGTGAAGAAAGTGACAGAGGTTATTGAAACGAAAAAATTTCGAGATTGACAATTAGTCGGTATTCTCGACACAGCAATTATAGGACTTGAACATTGGAACTTTGTAAATGAACAAGAAATTATGTCTGTTTATAGAATTAAAGAGAATGTATTATCACATAAAAAACGAAGCAACTTAAACAACTTACATTGAAAGAAATGTTTAATAAAGTAAACAAATATTAAGCTTTTTCTTTTTTGTAAATTTTGAGACTCTTTAGATCATAAGTGTTCTTTATTTCATAAATTATTGTTTCATATTTTTAATTTTATAATTTCTGCATGCCATCTTACCAGATTTAAACTGATGATCTATAATACGGAAAAATCGATAATCCGGAATCAAAGTCCTGACGAGTCCGGATTAACGACTTTTGACTGTAAGCAAATTGTGGGTTTTCTTACATATAGCTTACTTTTATGCAGCATGTCAATCATCATATCTAGATAATCGAGTACTTGTAGAGTACAGTGAATATCTTTGTAATCTGGGCTGATGTCAGTTGTCTATTTCTTTTAGCAGTTGCTGCCAAATAACACTCCTGAGAGCCTATTGTGGCATGTTTTTGATCTTGGTTTGATTGTTGTATACATCATCATCTTTAAACTATTTCAGATTCTTGACATGATGCTCTTTTGCTACTGTTAGTTCTTTACAGACGTGTGTCAGTGTCTTCCTTGCTCCCAGTTATACATAATTTCTCACAATCCATCAAATGCCATCTCAATGACATGTTCCAACTTCTACATGTGAAAATTTTATCCAGCCACTTAAAAAATCTTTGAAATTAGAATTTAAAGCACCCTTTTGTACTCTTTTCCACACTTGCTAAGAGAATGGGCATACAAGTTTGCAAAATTTCTCTGTAACAAAGGTGAATCCCATTGGATTATATGATAACATTGACCTTTAAATACCAATCACCTTTCATCTGGGCTTCTCTTAATAGAATTAACATAAAGACCCCTTTATAGTTCCTTTAATTTTGCTCCCCAGTGTTAATATTTAAGTATGTTTTAGCATATGTGGTTACTGTTCTTTAAGTAATATATAATTATTCTAATTTTGTACTATAAATATTTGGATACTAACACATTTATGTAGTTTCTCTATTGAGCTTGAATGTTATATTTTCTTAGATGAGGGCAACTTAGTATTCTCATTTGAGGTCATTTATTCAAAAGTTCCAGTGCTTTATTTAAAAAATTAATTGGACATTTTTTCTGCACTAGATATTGCATTCTCTTTCCTCCATTGATCATATTTGCAGTTTTTCTTATAATGTTGTATTTTGATAAGAATAAAATAATATGGAAGGTACTGTCAAATTGCTATGTTTACATATGAATTAGAGTAGAATTAAATGATATTTTATTTGTTTTATTGAAATTTATTTGACTTTTAAAAATTTTAATTTGTTGCCCATGAATTGAAGTATTTTTGCACCATTATTTACTAAAAAACTCCCAACACATACACTGGTTGAAATATGCATGGTATTTGTTGAAACATAAGTGGTATGAGCTCGACGGTGCTTCAAGATTCTCTTTGTAGGACTGAAAAGAACAATAAAAAGATGCTGTTGACATTTAAGAAAAGAGGCAATCACTTCGATAATGTGTAATGTAGAAAGCCCATGAAGTGGAGTGTTCTTTTCCTTTCATTATTCTTCTCACTCTTTATAAATGACAGCTTGACACATCCGAGAACATAAAACTTCTCCTGCTCCAGATATTGTCGTGTCTATTATTATTCATGCTGTAGTGTTTCCTTTCTTTGGGAGAGGGTTAAGTAAATATTTAAAAAGTGTTATTTAAAGAGTATGGTACTTAATGATAATATACTGATTCTTTTGTTGTTAAAAGTATTAATCTATTTCTTGTTTTTCAAGTTATTTTAAATTAACAGTCTACTAAAGTTTGTTACAAGAATAGCCAATAGTATATCTTCTTTCTATCTGTGTAAGTAGAAGAATGAAAATTGAAAAATATAAGTGCCAAACAGTAAGGGTGCACAACCTTTTTAGCAGAAGGGCCACTCAGAGAAATGACTTAGTTGCCAAGGGCCAATAGTGTTTGTAAAAAATTTGGCTGGGGGGAGGCCAATGCAATAAGTTGCTTAATTTGCAATTCAGATATGTACCATATCAAATTTAAACTGATTTGGGGATCATTACATATGTATGTAAACAACGAGGGGATTTCCCTTTCCTCTTGCATGTGGTACTAGGGCCAACACACCCAGTTCAGCTTTAAAAAAAATTACAGTTTATGT